ACGTTTTGTTTTTGGTTAGTAAGTATTATTTCCTAATAGCTTCTGTCCTTAAAAGCAAAGGAAATGATTATTATTTCCTTCAAACTTTGCTTTTGTGATCTGAAAATCGAGTTTTTGAAATTGACTTATTTTTCATTACATTCCAAACGCTGAGTTGTTGAAGGAGAATTCTCTAGAAGTTTCAAGAACTTTCGAGAAGTTTCTTAACATTTCAAGACTTTCTAGACCGTTCTGGGAAAATAGATGCCAGTATAAATAAAATTAATGTAAGCTGAATAGTTCAGTTTAGTTCTAGGTTTCCAAGCGCAGACAAGTCATAGTTGATTTAAAAAATTTTTGTGGCTTCTCTTGTGTAATCCTAGAATAAATAAATGCTATTTTTGAATCAGAGGACGTTTGGTTCCTACTTTGTGTGAACGAGAATGTTCACATTCGCCAGCTTTCCCAGTGAGAATAGGTAAATTTGAGAAATATCATTATACTGGTCACAAAAGCAAAATTTGAAGGAAATACTTGCCACTTTTAATATTTTCTAATCGTAAGAAAATAGGAAATAAAAGTTGCTTTTATTTGTTTTATTTAGCTCGGATATTTTTTTTTTAAGCATTACGCCCCAAGCAAGGCGTGAAGCCACTAGGATGCAGGGGGTTGCGGAAGATTTGGAGCGAGAGCGGATAGGGGTGATAGAAGAAAGGATGAGGAGAAGGATAGTGTGTAGATCAAGGTAACTGGAGGTGTCGATTGACATTACATTTGAATAGTTGGAGATTATAGCTTTCAGGGAAACAGTAATTGGGAAGGGTGTTCCACTGGCGAGAGGTGCGAGGTATGAAGCTATTGGAGTAGAAGGGACGGCTACATTTAAAAATTTCTATAGTGTAGGGTGGGAGCGCGATGCCAGCCTCGTAGGGCGCTTGACTTCATGGAGTCTGGGTGCCAACCATGAAGGCCCTGCATGAAGGTCGGGATGTCATTAGGGAGATATTCTGTGTTATAACATAGTTGGTCGATGTAGGCGATTGCTGGGCGGCCAACTCGTATGGCTCCATCGCTAGGTGCCCAGAGGTGTAGATCACTCGCGAGTTCTACAAAGCGCATTGTGTGTTTGCCTTGATTTAGTTGGATGTTGCCTTCAAGTGATGTTAAGTGTAGCTGGAATGTAGGTTCCATCAAACTTAGACTGTGGTTTATGTCCAAGCAGTGACACCACTTATTAAAACCACCTCTACAGTGACTTGAAGGGTTTTCCGTTTTAGGTTATCTGGTAGATCAAATTTCCAGATGACGTCCATTTTATTCACGGCGGTCCATTCTTTAGCTAAGCGAATTTTCATATCAATTATCTCGCTTCCTTGTTATGAAGAACATTCGACAGTTGTTCTATTGATTAACCTGAGACAGTTGGTATTGAGCCTGGCTGGTTGAAGCGTATCAGTTCAGTTTTAGAGGAATTGCCATAGAAACCAAGATCATTGGCAGCATTTTCTATATGATGTCGGAGAACTGTGGCATTGGTAACGACGTCCACACAAGGACAAAAATCGTGTTACACAAGGTAATTTAAAAAAAATAATTTGTTTGGTTTGAGATGAACAACATTTCATGTATACATGTATACAAGCAAATGGTCTCGAAGCTAGAGGCTATCTTCAGCTTCGAGCGATGCATTAAACGGAGACATTTTTATCGGATTACGCTAGAAATATCACCACTGAAATAATTGATGCAGAAGAAAGGATCGGCTGGTTTAGTCAATTGGGATTTTATTACTGTAATGATTGCCACCTTTTTTACGCAAGTCTGGGGATAGTTTATTTTTGTATGAGTTGTCACAATAGACGATATTTATAAGATCAGTCAGTTACGTGCCATGCATGATACACGCTTAAGCGATCATGTATCTTTCGATACATGACTAACGAGGCAGATTTTTTCCCCGCAGTAGGTTGCCATTTCTTTCTGCGGTGGACCAGTTGCCATCCAAAGCTATAGAAACCGGTCTGTCCTGCTATTTACCCAAAGCTGGCGGTGGGGAGAAGAAGAGGGTTCCTACTTTTCCCAAGGGTATTAGCTCGTAAGTGAATGCAATGGATTTTACTGGAATTCGAACTCGGTTCTCCGATTCATCAATCCTAGCTGCTAACCATATTTATAAGAGAGTGGATAACCGTATTTATAAAATAGTGGATACTGAGCCTGTTATAAAAATGAAAATATAATTTTTATGTAGTGTCTTCTGCTTTTTATTTTAAATCGTCGAATTTTTCGGTGATATAATCGAAAAATTTAGCCACGTTTTTTTTTTTTTTTTTTTTTAAAAAAAAAACATTTAAATATTTTTCTGAATTTATTTTCTTTTTGTATTCTCTTAAAAGATTTTTTCTGGATACATTTCTGTTATTATACAAAAATACTTTCCTGGATTCAATTATGGTGAAATATTTTCCGAATTCATTGTCATGTAAACAAACAAATCTAGTAATTTTGTGTGTGCAAGAACGTGTTCTTAATGTTTCAAAACCATAAGTGCTGCTGTTACAATAAGGAATATTTCTTTTGCTAAATAAAAAGGTAAATCGGTATCATGGAACAAAAATTAATATTATTCCTTCTTTTTCTCTCTCTCACTATATATATATATATATATATATATATATATATATATATATATATATATATATATATATATGTATACTTTCATATATCAAAAAGAAACAATTTATACCAAGAATTAAATAGCAATGTTAATGTGATTAATGGAGAAATAACTTCGCTAACAGGACTTAATATATATTAACTTATTATCAATTTCTTGAACAATAAAATCCTTATATTCGAGTTGTTGTCATATGGAAGACACAGGCCAAGTACCTTCGACAATTTTAAATTGTCATCTTCTGGGCGCAATTTTCCCATACATAGGCAAACACTAAGACGAAATATGTGTAAACCTAAAGATGATTTTTTTTTAGAATTATGCTATTTATTGACAGATGAATATATGTTTTGGAGCGTGCGATACCGCGTCTCTAGAGTTCTTGTTCAAATCGATCAAGTGAGAATATTGTTTGAATTCTGAAAAGTTATAAATCAACAAAATTTCCTTGTTATATGTATTTATCAGGTAAATAAAATGGACTTAGTATAATCCAATTAGTAGAGTAAAAATGTCTTCGTAGTTTTCCACAGAATTTAAGATTCTGATTATTACTGTGCAGCGGATCTGATTTCGTAAATATATTAGAGTTTGCAGCTTATATTTTATATCATAAACAAACAATTTATACAAATAATTAAATTGCACTGTTTATGCGATTGATGGCGAAATCACTTCGCTAACAGGACTTAATGAGACATTTACTTATTATCGGAAGATGAGAATTTGAAATTGTCGAAAGTACTTGGCCTGTGTCTTCCATCAACTCGAATATAAGTGTCTTATTATTCAAGGAGTTGATAGTAAGTTAATGTCTCATTAAATCCTGTATATAATACATGTATTACTTGAAGCGTTATTATTAGTAGATACTCGTATTTGAAAAGACGTCCTGGTTTCATTTTAAAAAGTGTGTTTTACGTCTGTCGACCTGCACATTCAAGAGGTCTTAATTAAGCAATTGAACTGCGTATCCCTTCGTAAGAGAAACTGCCGTTTCATCCGGCGTGCTTTACCACTCGGCTACGTAAGCGTCAGAAATCAGTCAGGCTCTATTTTCCATTTTAAGAAAAGCATACCTTCCCATTCAGATATTTTTCTCGAAACGCCCATAAATGTTCAGTTTCGTATCCGAAACTTAAATCTAAACAAAGCAATTTTCTAAAGAATTACTTCTTTGCCTTAAAGTGTTTTCTTTTCTGAACTAAACGTGTAAAAAATTGCTCCCAAGTTTGTTTTTAAAGGATTTTATTATACATCTATAATAAATGGTTTGAAAGTTCTATTGTAAATGGTATAAAAGATGTTGAAATTAGGCATATTCTTAATTTCTGAATACGGTTAGTAAATTGCAACCGTGTTCATGATCGATTGGTTTTCTTGATTTTCACAATAAGGGATTCCATTATATCTGCAGTTGTAGCCTTCGTTCTTGTAGGCATTGGAAATCGGCCATTGAGAATAACTAGAAGTACTCAACTATTTCAGCCTTAAAACTTTATTTTATGAAAATATTTAAGCAATTTTTATATGATTTACAATTCGGAGCAGCAGGCACATCTTAATTATTATATTCGCAAAAATTTCGCCATTATACCTTTTGAAAATCTATGGCAATTTTATAAGCGTAGCTTAGATGTGCCACAAGGTCAGAAGTATGGGGCATCTAGTGAGGATCAAACTCACTATTCAGTCATGATTGGTCTAGCGAGACAAGTTTGCTAACCACTACAACACGTGATTTTTTAAGCGTAGCTTAGATGTGGCATAAAGCCGAAACTATAGAGCACCCAATGAGGATCGAACTCACTACTCAGTAGTAATTGTTCTAACGAGACAAGCTTGTTAACCATTACACCACGTTGAAGTGCTTCCGAACATCCTCATATGTCTGTCTTCGTACTCAGCTTTTTTGAATTTAGTATAAAACACTTTATTCAATCTACAGAGTAGTCTGTTCATATTTCACTTTCCAGAATTAATGTATATTTTATATCAATTAATATTATCTAGTTTTACTCAAGTGGTGTGTCATATATGTTTCTGTTAATGAATCAGAGAATGTAAGCTTTCAACACTAACAAAGCGACAGATTGAATTCACGACAGTTACGAAATAAATGGCTTTTAGGCAACACGTTAATCATCTCAGTCATATGATTATTTAAATACAGGAGAGCGAGAATGGAAAAAGGAAAACCAAGGTAGATAACTCTTACCTCGCCAAAGTTTCTGCGCGACAGCGGAAGGAAATATATTTTGCAACAACGCCACGTTTTTCTCCCGTTCTTCTTTGACCGCTTCGGATGCCTCGACAACACTCCGCCGCAGTTGCTCCATCCGTTTCTTCAAACCATCCTGCAGACGAGAAAATAGAAATATGTTTTATGAGAAGATGGGGGTCTGGAGGAGGCAGATCGCTGTAAAATAAATTCAGTTAAAGAAAATTCGTAAAAGACAATGAAAAGGTCTACAACTTCTAAAACAGTTTTCTGTATTCTTTATCCAAAAGGATTTGAAAATAAAATGAATAATCTTACAAGAAATATAATAGGAATTTGTGTAATTGAATGACAAAATGAAAAAAAAAAAAAAGATTCTGTAACGCGTTTCGTACTTTAAAAAAGATTTATTCATGGGAAAATACATACGGGAAGATTGTAAGAAGCTAAATAAAAGATTATATGAAGACAAATATCTTTTGCAAAGCACTTTACTCCGTATATTAGTAATTCGTTGGGCACCTCGGCGTGGTTAGCAAGCTTGTCTCGCTAGATCAGTTACAACTGAAAAGTGAGTTCGATCCTCACTAGATACCCCATACTTTCGGCCTTGTGCCACATCTAAGCTATGCTTGGGAAATAACTATTAGTAGTTCGTTAAAATGGCCTATAATTTCGATTTTGTAGAGATTTTCCACTATTTGCTATTTTTTCTAACACTGTGAGTCACTCTTTACAAGGCCCGGAGGCCACTCGAGGTAGGCTGTTTGTGTGTACAGGTGAGGGAGATAACGATTAACTCTAGCCTTGAATAGCTTAAGATTATAGTGATCGGGGAAAAAAATCTTATTGGGAGTCGATTCCACAGGGCAGTGGTTCGCGGGAAGAAGTTGAAAGCAAAGGGGAAGGACGGGAGAAAGCTGCGAATAGCCTACCTAATGAGCTTGTTTAAATGATTGTCAGAAAAGAGATTAGGAGAGAATACGAAATTTACTAAGAGCTACAAAGAATAGAAAGTTGTGGCGAGCCATGGTCACTATGAAGGAGCAATGCATATAGATGAAGAAGAACACAGACTTAGATGTCTGTGTTTCATAAGATTTAATTCTGGTTATTATTCAGACATTTCTGGTTTCCTAAAAATGTCTTGAGGGTCTTTCAAGCATATTCAAAAGATTGAAATGTTTGCAATCACAATGACAAATACGTTTGAACAGATAAATATTGTTTTGCACATTGTACCGAAGAACACTTGCCTCTTCTCATGCGTTAATGCATTTCTTATTTTTTTTTTAATCAAGACGAGCATTACAATTGAAATCCGAGGTAAAACTTTGATGCATTTTGTTGTCTTCCTGTTTCCCGCGCATAAAAATGTGTCTCGTTTATAATGTGATTTCCAGAAACCCAGGAAGGAGAAGGATAAAAGAAAATTATGAAGACGCAAAATACAAGATAGGATCTTTTTCTTTTTTTTTTTTTGGCGATATCTCCATTACAACAACCGGAACTCTTCAGTTTTACAATAATAATAAAAAAAATAAAAAACAAAAAAAAAAAAAAACAAAGAAAGAAGTGGAACTCTTTGAGAAGAAGCAACATTTGCAATCAGCGCAAAAGGCAATAATATGTGGCGTAACGGTTATCCGTGCAGAAATGGTATCGGCGAGCCGAGTTCAAATTCCGGTCTAGTCTGTTGCGTTCACTTTCGCACAAAATCCCCTTGGAAGAGGTATATAAAACAATCTCCTCTCTCACTACTTATTCGCTAAATAGCAGGATAGACTGGATTCACTAGAGTTGGCTGGCAGCTATTCGAAGAAAAGAACTAGTCTGAATTCCAAACCGTGGGGATGGTAACAGCAAGCCAATCCTCTATAATTTCCAAGAAAGCATGGCAATTCACAGATAATAAATGAAATGAGAGAGGCATGATTACCTCCATCTTGAAAGTATATGACATGAAGAAATTGTCACCACGCCGAGAGTTTACACACACACACACACACACATATATATATATATATATATATATATTAGTGGTTATACATAATAACCGACGTCGATAGCTCCGAGTCGTGGTATCTACATTAGATATTACGTATAACTACTGAATATATATATATATATATATATATATATATATATATATAGTCTATGGGAACCTGAAGATTGCACGTTTGCATGAAACTCTGAGTTACTATCGTCGTTGCTTATTCATTTATATATATATATATATATATATTATATATATATATATATATATATATATATATATATATAATGTTTATACATAATATAAATTGATAGTACAAATGGGAGTTTCAACGTAAACCTGCAATCAGGAAAAAAATATAATCTACTAATATATAATTAATAGCTCTGTTATTTAGCATTGAGCACTGTTTTTATAACACCTGAGAAAATATATATGTACGTGCAAGCATATGTATTTTTTTGTCATACCTATATATATATATATATATATATATATATATATATATATATATACGATACTAATGTCACAAAAGAACTAAATGGTTTCTTCTTTTAAATTAATCTCCACTTGTATCTGATACACTTTTCTATCCTTTTCTGCCCCGCCAGTCCCATTACTTTTCATACAAACTTCTAAATGATACTTAGAGCAAGACGGAATAGGATGATGTGGAGGGCCATAATTCACCCATGTTCTGAAGATAAAAGTGAAGTAATATAAGACCAACTTTGTAGCCAACAAATCCTTTGGCAATTGTGCCGCCTTCGGATGCACAATTTGAGAAATCTTTTAAAAAGATGACAGCTGTTACAATACAAACAAAACGGTATTTCTAAATATAGCTAAAAATAAACGCCCAACACTATCTCAAGTTTAAAAAAGGACTACCTTTTGGACACTAATAACAAGATAATTTAAGACTACTTTTAATACAAGGTTGAAACAAGAATATGGCAATGATAGGAAGCAGTTTAGGAATATATATATATATATATATATATATATATATATATATATATATATATATATATAGGTAGGTAGTTTCGCCCAACTCCACAAAGTGCTACAAAACCAAATCCTCAACTTAAAAGCTAGAATCATGTCCTTAAGTAGCCTTAAATAGATAGAGACTTCCATATGGATGTGTGCATGCCACCAATCCCACTCAGAAATATCAACTGTATATAACTGTCATCTAAGATCAATGGTTAAAAATACTTTTGAGTGAGTGGAGTCTGAGACTTTTGGCAAGGATCATCCTTCTTTTAAGATTGTGGACTGGCGCTACAGAATCACAAACAAAGAACCGCACCAAATAACAGAAACTACATCACTTGAGGACTATCAAATTTTGAAAAGACTTAAATCAATAGCACATTTCATCCTAAGAAAAAAATAATGACTTAATCAAGATGTTGACATTCCACAATACTTCAATTAAAATGTTAGGAAGAAAACCCCCATCAGTACTAGAAAGATCGATAACAGCTACTAGGCTTGAATAATCTATTTTCCTGAAAAATCATGAACAATTATTTTTGAACAATATTAACATAATCTAACAGAACGTTCTCGGCAACACCGATGATTCTATGACATGACAACAGAAAATCGGCAAACAATTCTATCAATGCATATAAAAATATGTAACCTTTGCCTAGAAGAGAAGATGCTTATAATTCTCAGAAAATGACCAATTATATCCACATAATTTTTATGGTCACGTGGCCGAGTGGTTAGAACGTTTATTTTCTGACCATGAGACCCGGTTTCAAATAGTACCATAGACGATTTGTCATGGAAACAAGTTTTTGATGTTATCAGCCTGGAGAGGCGACCTCAGCCGCGTCACATTTGGAAATTGCCCAACAGTCATACTAGTGGCTGACCCATATGTGAGTGGAATTGGTTAGTTCAGAAGACGTCGATGCTTGTGACTGAGGGTTTGATCGTACTGACCTTGTATAAAACCTGTTCATCACTCCAGGTTATGCACTCGCAGTACCCGTTGCTTTGTAAAGGGTCAGTATAAACAACTGGCACTGTGATAGGGATTGGTTAACCGTCATGGAGGAAGGGTTTGCTCGGAAAAAGAAGAAGTCGCCGGTCATAATTCGGAGTATGGATCCACATCCATTTTGAAGGATGGTTGGTCATCAACATCGACATTTTCGAAGTTGTTGGAGAGAGAGCAAGTTCTCAGCATTCAGTCAGGAAGTGTTTTAACGTATATAGCGACAAGCGGACTGCATTTTTCTACCGCCCCTTCTCACTGGTTATAAAAGAGTAATTTATGCGTTGTCTTGAAGAAGAAAAAGAAGAAGAATCTTCTTTTTCTATATGCCGAATCCCCCAAGACGTTGCCGATAATGGCTCTCCACAAATTTCTGTCCTTTATAGCTCTTTGTAACTTTTGCCTTTTCCTTATATCTCCTAAACCCTGTTTTGCCATTCACTTACACAATCTCGTTAGGTAGTTTATTCCATGTTTTCCTACGTCTCTCTTGCCTTCGCTATACCCTGTGAATGTCAAAATTCCCAAGCCCTCTTTCGCTATGATGTGCCCGAGAGATTACACACGTCTCTTATTTATGCTAAACATAAGTATACTTTTCTTTCCATTTTTTAAACTTCGTCGTTACTCAGATGTTCAAACTATGGTATTCTCAGCATCCTTCTATAGAATCACATTTCTATCGCTTCAAGTTATTTTTAATCCGTGCGAAGATGATTCAGCATTCACTGCCATCGAGGAGGACTGATATTACGTAACACATCAGTACTCTTTTCTGTTTCTAACAAAATTGTCCTGTTTCTTAATACGTTGCTTAGCTTTTGAAAAGCATTTTTCGCTATCTAAATTCACCTTCAGATTTCAGTGTAGCACTTTCCGTCCTCTGTTAAAACAGTTACAAGATATTTAAATTGTTGTATTTCGTTGATTTTGGCATCCACCATTGGCAATTTACATATTGGGCCCATTTTTTTTTGTTCTAGACGAGCCCATCAATCCTGGTTCTCAGGTCCAAATATAGGACCTTAAACAGGGGTTCAAATCTGATGTCGGCCCACAAAAAATAATCCATTCTCGTTCTTCTAACTTCAGTAATAACACCGGTGGCTAATAATATCGGCTTCTACTCTTCCTTTAGTGATATGTAAAAACGAGACATACTGCATGGAAACTGTTAATCTATCTATCTATCTATCTATCTATATTTCTCACGTTGTCAGTCTGTGTGTCTGTCGTGGGCGTTGTTACCTCGCCCAGGCCGCATTTCTCACCCGATTTCGATGCGGTTTTCAACACAAGTTTGCAAATGGCTGCCGTAAGGACATGACGGAGCCCGATTTTTGAGTTCGGAATCAAGTTCCGAAAAAATCGATAATCGAAAAAATTCTGCTTACAGAAGGAATGATCGCATTTCAACCAAATTTGACACCCTCTTAGAGTCTACCATTAGATGTGTTGTCCAGAAGTTTCATGACCACGGACCCCTAAACAGCGCGGAAAATCGATAAAACCCAAAAACCGATACGCCCAGATTGCGTCTGAACCGCGTGTAGGTTTTTAGCGAAAACCGAAGAGGCCATTGGGAGTCATCATGTGAAGTTTCAACTCTGAGTCCCCCCCCAAGAGAGTGCAAATCGACAATCGGTCAACCCATAAATATGTTTTTTCCGGTTTTTTAAAGCTGATCGTATTGTGCTTATTTTGTTTACTTCTTTTTTCGTAACAGATTTAATGTTTACTATAGAGCTTAGAAAAAGTTGGCAGTGTGATATAGGCAAGACGTAAGGCATGTAACAACATCAGCACGGCAAAGGGCAAAAAAAAAAGGCAAGGAAGGGCAAAAAATATTTTAAGTCAAGTGATAGCGATTGCTGTATTAGTCGTACTATTTTTGAATCAAGCACGGGCAACGCCAGGCCATGCTGCTAGTATACAATAAAAGGGAATCCTGTCTAACCCTGTACTCAGTAGCGAACCCACTAGCGTCGACTCACCTGAGCTTAATAGGCTTATAGCGCTGAAACACAGATTGAGCCGATCACTCTCTGCTTAGCTTTCGACTGTATATTTGTAGACAACTCTGTGTGAGTGTGTGTGTGTATGAGAGAGAGAGAGAGAGAGAGAGAGAGGGTGAGAGAGTGAGAGAGAAAGAGAAAGAGAGAGAGATAGAGAAAGAGAGAGATGGGGACGATTATAAACATTCTACAGCGAAAATAAAAGCGATCAGAATCTGTAAACGAAGATAAAATGTTTTTGAACTTTGTTTTACAGTCAATTCAAAATCGTAGAGGAAAACTGTTTAATGAAGATTGATGTAGGATTTTTTTTTTTTTTTTTTTTTTTTTTTTTTTTTAGAAATGCCCATATCACCAAATAAAAATTGCCATATTTCTTTCCTCAAAATGGAAGTGGACTTAACCTGGGAAAAGTGAATGAGAAGTAGCGAGAATAATTTTTTTTTTGCTAGAGGTGAGTAAGACGAGAGAAAAGAAAACGAGCCAAGATGAGTCCGCCACTAGATATTTATCAGACAAAGACGGGTATGGTCCGTCCATGAAACAACTTGTGACGAATGAACTCAATAGCAATGATTTTTTAACGTTAGAAACGTGATCTTTAATTAAAGATCCCGTCAGGAATGCTGATTTGAATATATTGGTTAAGAATATAACAGACTTCTTTTAGAACGATACAGTTGTAGAATTTGTTTTTTTTTTTTACGATTTGACAACGTTTTGTGAGTTATTTAAAAAAATATTTCGGATTGTATGAACTTGCTTACAGCACCCGGTGTTCCCAAAGAGACCTCCCAGCAAAGTCCTGTTCGGGCTCGACGATGCTTAACTTCGGACATGAACCAAAGCGTAGACTTGGACAGTAGTATTGTGAGTTCTATATACACTGAATAACCGGCCAAAACAAAAACAAACCTCGTCCTTCAGATTGGAATGAATGAAATCAGTGATGGCATCTACATTGAATCATTGGATGTAGAATTAATAAATAATAAAGACTTCAAATACCTCCGTATATGGATTAATTATAACGAGTTTAACACAGGAGATAAAGCAAGTGAACACAAAAGAGGCTGCACTTGCGGTAGTTTCGCCAAATACCGGAAGTTGCTTCCAAACTAAAACATTGACCTAAGAATTCGAGTCATGTTCTTAAATAGCCTTGTCAGATCTAGACACATATCATTGTTATCTATGATGCCCGAATTGTTCAGAAATGTCTGGACTATTAGCTATATAAAATAGTTTTCTCATATCAATGATTGAAAATAGATTCAAGTAAATTAACCCTGTGAGTCTTAAAGAAGACTGTTCTTCGACGGTTATCGTAGACTGGCGCTACAGAATCGTAATTAGACAACTTTACTAAACAAAAACGCATCAATGGAGGACTTAAACAGCAATAACAACTAAAATGGATAGCACATAAGAGAAAATAGTGGCATAATCAAGATGTTTACTTTCCACAAGTTTCAATAAAAGGCCAGAAAGGAAACTCCCGTCAATACTAGAAAGAGCGATAACAGCAATTTGACTTGAGAAACCTATTTTCCAGTAAATTAGTTTCAAGTGAAAGAGTTTATGAATTTCAATCGGTAGTAATGCTAACTGTTAGGTTAATACTAAAGATTTCTTTATAAGGGAGCGAGTAAAGCCCAGCTTTTTGGCAACGATCCTTCTACTTTGAACGCTATGGATTAGCGATGCAGATTCACAAACAAAGGACGGTACCAAATAAAAGAAAAATCCCTCGCACATGAAACTCGAAGAGAAAATAGTGACATAATCAAGATGCTGACTTTCCACACAAAATAATCCTTGTCTTTCGTACTTTTTTTTTATTTTGTTATATTTACTGAATTCCTTTTCTATTCGTATGAAGGCAGTTTTGCTGCCAGCATAGATTCTGGATTATTCTAGCATCCTTTCCAAATGACAGTTAGAACTGCGAGGTTACCACGGTATATTTAGGAAGGGTATTGGAAATTACTAATCGCAAAAAAAAAAAGAACACAAACAAATCTTCGCACTCGTAAATTTTCGTGTCCGAAATAGAAAAAAACAACAACAAAAAAAAAAAAACGAAATAAAAACCCCCCAAAACGGAGATGCTTTTCCCTTCACATCGCTATTATTTTAACTCACTTAAGTCTTCGTCAGTATATATTGTTTTAAAAAGGCATAATGAGAATTGTAATAAAACTTAAACACATAAAAGTGAATTTATAAATTTTCATTGTTGTTGAGAATTGACAACAAAAATAATAAACACTATTTATTTATTGATTAGATTGTTTATTGGAATGATTGCCAATCGATTCGAACTTTATAAAATGGTAAATAATAATGATTTCCTTATAATTGGATCCCATAATTTAATAATTCAGCAAATGTTTATAAATTTATGACTAAAAAATTGTTTTGTTATTTTTTTTTTTTATAAATTGGTAAATGGTAAGTATTGCCTTGAATTAGTTTTGTGTTAGATTTAGAATGTGGTAAATACAGCATTATTCTTGTAAATAACGTAATAAATAAATCGTGTTTAATATATTTGTTGCAAATTCTCAAGAACAAAAAATATATGAATTCACTTTTATCATGTTTAATTTTTATTAAAATTATAATGGCTTTTTAAAACAATAAACATTGACGTGGAGTGGAGCGAATTAAATTAATAACGGTGTCAAGGGAAAAACCGTCATTTTGACACTCCGATTTTTTTTTGAAGGACGGGTACGAAGGTTCAAGATTGAAAATAAAACAAAGATGAAAAACATAGTTATGTAAGTTTGTTTTTATTTTTTCTGTTGTCACCCACGCCTCGTCTTAAACGAAGTATAAAAACTGTAATTACTTAAGTTACTAAATTCATTTAAAGTGACTATGTACAGGTGCGTTCGTATTTTGGTTTGTAAGAGAGTATGAAAGTGAAGCTGATCGTGAGTTAAACGTTATGTTTACTGTAACCTTTACAAAATGTATAAATAGAAAAAAGTGGAGAGGTTCTCCATTAAAACTGTCTCTTGTGCGCATGATCAAAATTTCGCATCAGTTGTCTAAAGTTGTGCAACGGATAAAGAGAATGCAACTGTGCATCGATCGATATTGATCGTTCTACGACAGCAAAGCTGTGTTGAAGAGTTTGTAATATTGGCTGCTTTTTTATTTTTATTTTATGAATGACAAGGATTGTCAGTTGATCATTCCAAGTTACTACTTCAGAATCTATCTATCTATCTATCTCAGTTTATTCATAACTATCTATGAATCTATTTATCTCAGTTTGTTCATAACTATCTATGAATCTATTTATCTCAGTTTGTTCATATCTATCTATCTCAGTTTGTTCATATCTATCTATCTCAGTTTGTTCATATCTATCTATCTCAGTTTGTTTATATCTATCTATCTATCTCAGTTTGTTCATATCTATCTATCTATCTCAGTTTGTTCATATCTATCTATCTATCTCAGTTTGTTCATATCTATCTATCTATCTCAGTTTATTCATAACTATCTATGAATCTATCTATCTCAGTTTGTTCATATCTATCTATCTATCTAAGTTTATTCATAACTATCTATGAATCTATCTATCTATCTATCTCAGTTTGTTCATAAATATCTATCTATGAATCTATTTATCTCATTTTTTTCATATCTATCTATCTAAGTTTATTCATAACTATCTATGAATCTATTTATCTCAGTTTGTTCATATCTATCTATGAATCTACCTCAGTTTGTTCCTATCTATCTATCTATCTATCTATCTGGGCGAATAGAGGGCTACAATGTTTGAGTCCTTCATGGAAATAGTCAAGAAGCATAACTTAGAATACAACATTATGGAGACGGAGTACTGCTTTGGGTGAGATTTTTAAAAATTTCTTTTTTAATCATTTCACTCAAAGCAATGCGATAATGCGACTAAGACGCAAGTGGCTAACAGACAATAGAATGAAGAAAAGTGAGAAAACTTTAATGAGTATCAAGTCCAATATAAAGAACGGGATTCAAGCAAATAAAAGATAACAATTGGCGTTGCATTTACATTTTTGAAGATTGTAGTTGACAGGAAAGCAAGCATGAGAGCAGAAATTTTTAGAATGGAACTTATGGTAAAATTTGAGAAATTCAACAGTAAAATGAAGAGAGTTTGCAGTCAATTTAGTACTACGCTTAATGTCGACAGTAAAATTATAGGCACCTTCAAAGTTGATGTTGGCGTCAGTATAAACGCAGAAAATTATTCTCTGTTCTTGGACAAGATATCTTTAAAAAGATTCTTGAGTGGTAGAAGTTCAAAAATCTTTGAACTAAAAACCATATCCATGCAAAACAATGTTCCTTTAAATTCTGCAAAGCTAAATAATGTCTACATTGCCCGCAAATGATTCAACGACTTCGGTATAATGTAATTAATGCATCTTCAATAATAATAAAAAAAACTTATAAAGATTTATGTCCTATTTATTTCTCGGTCTGACCGTGTATAAACGAAACCTCATATAAGGGGAGAATGACTGCATATCCATCCGTTATACGTATATACCAAAATGCAAAAATGTTCAGAGAGTCAGTTTACCTCGTAAATAAATAAAATGAATCTCATAATTTCATTATTTTATTTAAATCAAGAATTTTAGTCTAATTAAACTAGCACCTGTATAAATCGATATCCTTTTCGGATTAGGCGAATGAAAATAATCAATACGATTCAAAGCAAAGATAATGCAATCTACTAATCGATTGCTATGGATCGATAAAGGAATGTAGTTTAATGTTGACTGAATGACATTTTCATTTAGCAGCTGGAAACAATGAACAAAGAGAGAAAAAAGCCTAGAGAATATTATTGCCTGTTACCTGAGCCTTGGATTGCTCGCCGACGAGAATGACGTCACGTGTGGCGTCGTGTATTGGGATATCTGATATGTAGATGCCTTTACCAATCATTTCGTCCAGTTTCTCTACACTTGGAGATCCAATGAACAAGATAGCGTCGGATTCTTGGAGGTGAATCATTTGTCCCTTCAGTTCCATTTGCTGAAATGGAAAGAAAAATTGATTAGAATTAAATTACTCAAAAAAGTTATAAAAAAGAGAAACGTCTTATTTAAATCAACAAATCATTTCGGTTCTTCAATCTGACTGTGGTGTGTGGGTAGAGTCAGGCTCATCGGCCGCAAAATTAGAATCAGCGGCAAAGTTCCAGCCTAATCTCTTGCGTGGAAAAGTTTTGGACCAAATAGATCAAATGATTATACAACTTTATTTTATCAAGAAGTTAAGATTGTCTAGCAGTATGCTTTTATCAGTACTGTCTATGGAACTTGAGGATTGGAAAAATAAGTTGTTGCCTCTTCGTAAGTATCATTTAGCAGAAGATATACCATTTTAAGCCGCGTGAAGCTGAAAATGGTCACGCGAAACTATTGGACTCATAAAAAAATTCTGAAATAATAATGTCATGAAAATATGCAAATTTCTTAATTGGAATCAATTCATCTTTATGACAGGATTGTAAGCTACCTTGGTAAGTCATTCTACAGGGTGCGATGGATAAATTGTCGTCTACGCATAAATGAAAATAACATTTTCAACAGATATATTTACCAAAATTATACAAGAATATCTTGAAATAGAAAATGGTAAATTTTATCCAATAAAATCGCCATTGGTATCAACCACGGCCTCCGGAATATCCTGCAACTCTTCTGGAAGGTATTCTTCTTTCAGTTGGTGAATGCTGCCATAATAGTTGTTCATTTTTGTTGTTACAAGGAGTTTTGTTGGTCTCTCGCCCAATTGCTCCCCACGCATAATAATCAAGGTGGTGAAGTCTGGGGAGTTAGGTGGCCAGGTGTAAGGGGTTATGTGGTCGCAGAAATTCTCTGACAGCCATGACTGGATTCTCCTGCTTGTGTGACATGGTGCAAAGTTCTGTTGTCAGACATAACGTCTTCCAGCAGACACCCGCTTGACCTAGGGCAACACTACCTCAAGGTACTTGATGGAAATCTCCGTGTTGAGTCTGAGGCTCTGTGGGAAGATGTATAACTTTGCCATCACTAGTGATCACTCCAAAGACATTTTTTAAATCACCATTAGACTCATTATCTAACTCTTTCCGAATCTTCTTCACTGTCCTCAGATTGACATCCAAACACGCTGAAATGTTGGTATTGGATCTTCCGGTGCGAATGACAAGCAGTACAGCATGCCGTTTCTAAAGTTCTGGCGGAGGGAATTATGTCATCGGGTTCTTTTTTCCACTGACGGTGCCCAGGCGACAAAATCAAAAAACAAACAACGCATATGCGCGAAATAAAAAAATATATATATATAAAATGGCGACAATTTACCTATCGCTCCTTGTAGTTGAACATTAGCTTATCTTTACACTATAATTATAACTAATATATAATTCTACTGAAACAATGATCAAGTTTGTCAAGTTGAAGGGAAAGTGTTTTATATGTATAGAAAGATAATATGTCAGATATATTAACATTAGTAATTCTCAGTAATGTTAAGGTATTTGACACATAATGAGGAAAGAAAGTCTGCTGAATCTAACACTCACAGGACATAGAGAAGTGAAGTAGCGGAAAACAGTGAGATCCATAGAAAAAAATCACAAGGTGAATGTGGTGTCTATTTTAACAGCACATTATCATTATTACTGGCACGCCCGATCCATCTTCCTGGTAGATTCTCATTGACATCAGTCGGCACAGTCAACTTACCTAGGTTTTATGCATTTCGTTAAAATTTGAGATCATTTAAGCGAGAATTGGATATATATATATATATATATATATATATATATATATATATATATATATATATATAATTTAGGAGTGTACGTCTGTAGGCGTGAATATAAATGACGTTGCTTAGTCTTGGCCTTGGTGTCAAGTTTTATATTTACATAAATACCACAAGACCTGAATGACCTTGATTTTGCATTAATTTCTACATGTATCAAAAACGCAGAATCCTTGCTGCAATCACTCGAACAAACAGCGAACCAGGTAGGTCGTTATTGCAACAAGAGTAAGACAGAATACATCACAACGTCCCCTGAATTATCCGATTGAAATGACTCAATAATACATCCATTAAAAGAGTTGGGGACTTCAAATAACTTGTATCTCATATCATAGATTCCCAAAGCTACTTCGACTTCCGAAAAGCTCTTGCATGGGATGCGTGTAGCAAACTTGACAAGATTTGGCGCTGGAATCTTCCATCCTCCTTAAAAGTCCAAACCTTTCGGAAATTGATGGAACCAGTCTTACTGTATGGATCAGAAACTTGGATATTATCTGTTTGTCTTGAAAGATGACCTGATGGAACATATACAAATCTACTAAGAAAAATCCAGAATATCAGTTGGGGATTCAATGCAACACTTAACACAATCTCCGGAGAACTGAAACCAATCTCTCTTAAGCTCAAGCAAAAACGACTACAGTTTACTGGCCACTGTCACCGAACGGACAGGGAAGTCAGCACGTCCTTACCCCTATGGCATCCTTCTGGAAGTGCCTTCTCCCAGACACCATAGATCGAGACTCAGGGTTGGACATTACGAATCTGGGGATAATAATACAAGACCGAACTGTGTGGAAAGGGATTGTCAATAGAGTTCCGACCAACCATTGGTCGAAGATTGATAATGATGATATTTAATTAGCCTCTATATCTGATATTGACCACTTTTACCCATAAATATATCATAGCTTAAAACTATATTTTAAGGGTTATTCATGCTGTCATTTACCCTGGGAAGGAGTTTATATTTTCCATTGTAACATTGTACCGTTCTTTTTTTTGCAGGCAAGGTTTATGTTGGTTCTCATGATAACCCATATGTTGATTACTTTACGCGTGAATTGTTTTGTACTTAACTGACATGAGCAATACGTTTCGTAATTGCAGTTAACTGCTGACTACCCGAAATATGATTGAAACAAAGAAAACTAATGGACTGTTATGCATCACCAGTCGTCCTATACGGCAGTGAATGCTGGGCAATCTCCACACAGATGAAGAAGAGACTTGAGGCAACGGAAATGTGGCTCGATAGAACGATGCTGAAAATACTATGAACTGTACATTTGATCAACGGTGAGATTCTAAGGACGATGGCAAAAAAAAAAAAAAAAAAAATGACACTTACGCTTAACATCAAGAAGAGACATTTGAAATTTCTGAGGCACATAATAATGATTGAGGACTTGGATAATTTTACACTCACAGAGCAGATTGAAGGTAAGAGAGAGACTGACGTTGACAACGAATAATTTACCTGGCAAGCTTGAGTGATTGGATGACGAAGCAGGGTTTGAGCGTGTAGGCAAAAAGACAAAATTTATTAAGAGCTACAAAGGTCAGGAGATTGTGGAGAGCCATGATCGCAAACGTTCTGAATGGAGATGGCAGATAGAAGAAGAATTAATAATTTTACCAAATGAATATGATTCCGTGTTTACTTCTTTAAGATAAAGAAAGAAACTTAATGTACTATCGTTATTTTGTTATTAGCTTCAGTTTTTCTTAGTCTGATGACCTCCACCGATTCGCCAAAAAAAGAGCATATCATGATGAAAAAATACCCCAAACTTAATAAAAACAAAGATTTATCGTCATAATCTTTACATTGTTATTCAGAGGAAAAACCAACAGATATATTGATTCTTTTTAGAATGTTCGATTTTTTTTGCTTTTCTTTCGTCAGCGAGAGGACCAAAGATTAATATAGGAAATTTTAGCGCCTTTTTGTAGTGAAAAACACATTATTTGGAAATTCTTGCAAAAATCAAATAATTGTCGGGTTTTAATGAAACTATAAAGACTTATTCACAAATTAATCCAATTATTTCAGAAATGTTTCTTTTTTTTAGAAAATCTTGGTAAAATTCTTTATATATATATATGTTAACCCCAGTTATTTACTTTTATGAAATTTCGAGAAATTCACTTGTACAGCTTAATGTCAAGCTAATGTCCTAATATTAGTTATTCACATAACTCCTTGGAGAATTTAAATCATCAATTTTTTTTTGTAAAACTGGACTCCCATTTACCGAAAATCTGCTCTGAATCGTAAAATAAAAAATAAAAATGCAATAATGGTAAGACATTATTTAATTAGAAACGCTTTTAATTGTTTTTATGAATAAGATATATTATGGACATTATTGTCTTAAGTAAACATTTTTTCAATAGATAATGAATTTTTGCAAGTATTGTTTTCAGTTTTTAAAGGTCATAACTGGAATAGTTTATAAAGTTTTAATTTTTTAAATTTCTGCATTAATTTGTACCGGTTAGGTGATATTGCTATTAATTAAAATTCCATTTACTGATCTTAAAAAGAAAAGCTAAATACAATTTATGAACCCCAATATTTAAAAAAAGAATTTTGAATGTTTTTGTTTGTATAAACGTGTTGATTTTTGTAAATACGGACATCCATAAACGAAATTATCAAACATAAGAGCGATAACTCTAGTAAATCTAAAGCCAATTTACCTAAAATTCAATGAAACATTAGATTGCGGAGAATATTTTCCTAATTTTTTAAGATCACCTTGTAGTTAAAAATGACATAAAAAGACGCTCACGTTATATTCCTCAAGTAATTTTATTGATATGTCCACTATAGAAAAAAAACAACTGTCAACACATTAAATAAACGGTCAAAGCATAACGCTTTTTTGAGTGTATAACCGTTCCTCGCCATTGAATAAAAGAAAACTGAAGAGAATCATTTTATGTGACTTTGTGTAACAGTTTCATAAAACGTAAAAGAGTTTGTTAAAAACCTTTCTTTTTGTTAAGTCACGTGTTTCTAAAAAAGAATGTCAAATATCATCAGTGTTCGGCAAATTTTACAAGCATATAAGTGTACTGATTATAATTGTGCAGCATCAAGGTTCAAGGTGAGGATGCCACCGAAAAGTTCAATATTAATTATAAGTTTCTTAAAATTCCCTATTAAAAATCCAGTATTAATCATAATTTAAAAAACGAAA